GATGACTTCATCGAGGCTGTGCGTCCATGGACGTGTGTCGGTGTTCCCTCCCCTCTGGTGTGCTCCGGGTCAGGATTGCTCGGGCTGCACCGGAGCTGCCACCGGCCACCCCGGCGGGTCCCACTCGCCGCCGGCTCTGCCACCGCTTCAGCCTCGGGAGCGGCGAGCCCGGAGCTGCGTATTGCCGGGCCAGGCCGGCTGGCACATGCTGTTTTAATATTTGGGTGATGTCATCGAGCACTCTATAATGCTGTAAAAAATCCAGAACATCTATAAACCTGACCAGTGAACCTCCAGCAGAACACACACGCGCACGGGTGTGCACATGGACATGCACACACACAGATCAGATGCACATGTGTGTGCACACGTGTATGCACACGCGTGCATGTACGGACAGATGCGCACATGGATACACACAGATGCACACGTGGATGCACGTGCAGACTCATGAACGTGCAGATACACAAAAAGGGACACGCACACATTCATACACATGCAGAGACGCACACACATGGCTGCACACATGCACACACACACTCCGATGCATGCATGTGGATATGCAGGGATGCACACACACACACAAATGCATGCACACATGGATACACGGGCTGATGCATATACACATGGATGCCCACACGCTGAGACACACAAACACGTGCGCACACACACGTTTGCACACAGATGTGTTGGGACGCACACATGGATGCACACACACACACGCATGCTCTTGATGCCACCCTGACAGTGATAGCCATGGCGGGTGGCACGGGAAGGACGGGGGGGTGTGCACAGTGCACTCACCGCCCCGGGGCCGGTGGCACTCACACGTGTCACGACATGTGGGGACCTCAGAAGCAGCCCCGGTGCGTGGGGTAGCGAGAGCCCCAGCAGCCCCATATACCCCAGGGGACACGGAGCAGATGCCACCTGCACATAAAGCCCAGGCAGGACCTGGCAGTGCCTCCCCCTCCCCCTGCCCCGGGAGCCATCCCGGGAAAGCCGGCAGGATGGGCCCGTCAGGTTTTACATATACCTGTCAAATACCTTCTCCATATTTCTGCTGTAACGACCTGCTAAGAGCCCCTCGCTCCTCCTCCCCAGTCCAAAACCACCAGGCCCTGAGCTTTGGAGAGATTAAGTCATAAAAATCGGAAGGGGCTGTGTAGTAACAGCCCCGGCCTGAGCCATAACGGCAGTGAAATCATCCCCAAACTATTTCAGCCCCGTCCATTTCCAGTCCCACGTCACACCTGAGCCACCGGCACGCAACGAAATAAAACGCCGGTGGATGGTTTCCTGGCCCCAGCGCGGCCGTATAGGGATGGGGGCAGGGAAAGGAGGTGATGTTAGAAATAAAAAGGCTCTCCCGGTGCGCAGGGCTGGCCGTCTCTGCCTGGTCCCAGTGCCCGAGCGGTGCAGGATGTGTCCCGGCCGGGCGGAGGGACTGCTGAGCTCCCATCCCCAGCTGGCTTTTCTGACCCGTAGTTTGCATTAACTAACCTCGAGCTGAGCAAACCCACATGGCCAAAGCCGAGTGAAACTGGGAGATAGAGGATTTAGCATCACGTTGAACGCAGCTAATTAGCGGCGTGGTTAAAGCTCGTTAAGGAGCCGGCGCTCCTTCCACAGTCTGCCTAGCTCTCTGCCCTCCTGACGGACCCGGACCAGCCCCGGTGCCAACCAGCCCAGCCAAACCCCGGGTTTGGAGAGGGCCAGATCCTGTCCTGGCCATGGCAAAAACATGATGCTGCAGCTCTGACGCTGCAGGAAGGTGCCTGCCCAAACCGCTGCCGGCTCGGTACCAGCCACATGCCGCCCGCTCAGAGGCGAGGCTGGAGGAACGGGTGCCATTTGGGACACTTCTTGATGAATTTGATGTCAAAAGGGCGGGTTTAGGTGGAAAAGGCTGTGCAAAACACCGAGCGATGGGAGGAGGCGGCATCCCCCGGGGTCTGGCACGGGTCCTTCTGCCTCCTGTTATCTGACCCAAACCCACGCTCCTGTTTTCTTCCTCTCTCCTTTCCCTTCTTTCTCGTTTCCCCGTGACCTGGGGTAGGGCTGGCCAGCAAGACGGGGCAGCCACGCATTGTTCACAGCCTCGATTGTAATTAGGCTTTATTATTAATAAAAACACCCAGGGCTGAGTTAGGCAGGAGGGTTGGCAGGGCCCTGCCTGCTTTTGTGTCGAAGCAAGCCAGGGCTTTGCTGGCGAACGCCACGCGGGGTTAGAGCGATGCAGACCTGGGGAGCCGAAATCTGGCGCTGGGTCTTGGTGACCTGGGAATGGGTGGGTACGGCAAATTGCCCAGCACCGCTCGGTGATTTTGCAGTGATGCAGCAGCTGTGGTTTCAACATGATGCATCCTCGGTGCATTTACGGATAGGAGTGAGCATCCATCAGCCCGCAGTTTTCAGTCCGGTACCCGCCCCAGCCCTGGGGCAGCATCTTTGGGCACAAAGTGAGGAGAACCCCCCGGTCCCCCTCCCCAGCCCCACGGCAAAGGTACATTTTCAACAGTTTTGCAATGCAGGCACTTTGGGAAAGCTCCTGTCCGTGCCCAGCCACGCTGCCAGTGCCAGCGAGCACCTGAAACTGGGGCGTGCTGGACCCGAATTGCTCTGGAGCGAGGAAGTGCAGCCAAAAAAACCACCCCAAGGATTTCTAGCCATCCTCTGAGATCAGAGGCGAGCTGGCACGGCCCAAGCCATGGGGAAAGAAGGGAATTTCTGCTGCTGCAAAATGACTTAACGTTTCCTCCGTGATGTGATCCGCTGCCGACTTCCCCGGCGTGCGCATCGCTCCTTTGAACCGCGGGAAGTGATCGCATCCTTGCCTGGAAGGTACCTGGAAGCTGGGGGCTGGAAAATAAGTCAGGGCTTTCTTTCTCCCCCCTCCCTTAGCCCTCCTCATGTCCTTCCTCCCAGGCCGTTTCGGAGAGCGGAGCGGGACGGAGCCCTATAGACGGCTGCTTCCTTTCATAGTCATCGGCGGCGGCACAGGATGCTTCTCATTTGGTGTTGTGTTTGTTTGCTGCGGCGCGGGTTCTGGCACCCGCCGGGCGCCCGCCAGCCCTCCCGTGTAGGTAGTGAGGTCATTTTTCCATGTATTCCCCCTTTTTACATACTGTATATGGAAAGACAATGAAGAGCCTTTCTGGCGTTTAATGGGAACGCGTCGCCAGCCCCCAAAGTGGTCCCGTTTATTAGCGCTTCACATTAAACAACAAAAAAAAAGTGAGTCAGGATTTAGTCCTGTTAACACTAATGTGAATTTAATTTAGGAGAAGCTTGAAAATTAATGTCATTTGTTAAATATCCATTTCCCCTAAAAGGCAATTCTTTGCCAACAACAACAACAAAAAACTCTTCTTCTATTCAATTTTTTTTTTTTTAAATAGCCTTTTTTGGCGATATCAGCCTGGTTTAAATCACTCGGCGTTCAAGGAACGGATGCCACCGGGGTTTTATGCAACAGATTGTCATTTCTCCTTTTCAAATTGAACAAAAAAACGCTGTAAATCATAAAGTGTTTCACAGGAGGGGGATGAGGCTCTGGCAAAGCACTGGCAAGACCCGCCGGCTGCCGGAGCCGGGAAGCAGCCAGCGAGAGCCGGGAGGTGGAAGGGCTCCGGCACACGGGGTTTTCTTCCAGCTCTGAGGACTAGAGCGAAGGCGTCGGAGCAGCCAGGCTCTATTTTTGGGGGGTTTCATGGGAAAAACGGGGTGAGCCGTGGGGACCACACACCGATGCGCTGCCAGCTTGGCAAAATAATAACCACACCGAGGCTCTTTTCGGAGGAGGATATCACATGTTTTATTATATTCTAATCTGAGAACAGCTGCTTTTCCTGCAGAGCGCATCTCCGGGCGGCACGGCGCGGTGCCGTGGGGCGGCCGCCAGCGTCCCATCCCGGTGCCGGTGCTGCCGGAGCCGCCGTCCCGCGCCGAGCCGAGCCGCGCTCGCGGAGCCCGAGGCGGCTGATGGGGCGGGCGGGCGGCAGCCTGGAAATTAATACATTTGCCAGGTTGTCAAAACATTAATCAACGGATACAAAAATCTGGAAATGGTTGGGACAACATGTATTTGCGGAAAATATGTGTTCACACAACAAGCACACAAGATGGGAACAATTATATGAAGATGTTTTAATAATTAACCAGTATAAAACAGTTTGCTCTCCATACAGTTCTAGACAATAAAAGTGTTTGCAGTCATATTTTTCTTTTGTACAAAATTCCAGTCAATTGTTCCACAATATTTACATTGTCATTCCCTTTTCACAAAATATCTCCTTCCCCCCCCTTTTTTTTTTTAAATCCAGCTTTGCTACATAAATGCTTTAGATCTCATGGATATCCCTTGATTTATTTTTAAAAAGTCTAATAAAAAAAACCCCAAAGACATTAAATACCATTTTATATATAAAAATGCTTAGTAAAAATATAGTTTTGTTGCCCAATTAAAATATATTGCTGAGAATACAGTAAAAACTGTCCTAAAGCCCACCCCTAACGGGCGCCGACTCTTTAATGGCCCCGCCAAAGTCTTCCTAAAAGTTTTTTTTTTTTTTTCCCCTCCCGCAAGTTCGCCTGCCCTTGGGTTAAATACTGGGGGCAGGTCGCTTCGGCTCGTCCTGGTGGTGGTTGTTTCAGGCAGGATTTACTGGAATTGGCTTAGAAATGCCCCTTCGAGCTGGTGGGAGCTACAGCTACGCCCTGCCGAGGGCTGGAGCGGGGAGCGCGGCAGGCAGGCTAGTGCTTGGGAAAGGCGTCTATCTGTGTTATATAGTTATACGGTATATCAGTGAGTTCAGCATGTTTTTTCTCTAAAAAAAAAAAAAATCCAAAATAAAAAAAAAAACAAAAAACAAAAGAAAGCGATGCATTTAATGAGATACTCTAAATATTATGGAGCTCGTGGTTAAAGGAGGATGGCTTTTTGTTTTTAGAGGAGAGTTGGGGCTCTCCCGGTGAGAGCATCGGACGGTGGGGCCAACCTAACCGGTGATGCAGGGGCTATAGTAAACAGCGCTGCTGGCATCGGACAAGGCGGATATCAAGCTGCTCTCCTCGCAGGAGATGCTTCTAGGAGTCACTTTGGACAGGGAGACATGGTAAGGGAGTCCCGAGGCTTCGGGACGAGTCCTGCTCATGTTCAAATACTGGTCAAACTCGTTGCGGTCAACGTCTGTCCACAGCTCGGTTTGGTTCAAGTGATCCACGCTCTCCATGTGGTGGGCTTCAGGTGGGGGCGAGAGCTGGCCCAGGTGGGCGGAAAGCCCGTTCTGAGTTCCCGAGCACATCTGGTTGTAGTATATGCTGGAGGGATGGGGAGTCCTCATGGCGTCGGCCAAGTGCGAGGGGGTCTGCGCGTAGGGCACCGCCACGTCCCGCCCCATGCACTTCTCCTGGGGAAACTCCATCTGGTGATGGTGGTGGTAGCCGCGAAAGGGCATCATGTTGCAGTCATCCTGCATGTGCGGAGGGAAAAACGCCGGTTCGGTCTGTTCCAAGACATCCAAGGGAGACATCTCAGGAGTTGGCAAGCCATAGTTTTCAATATCCGACCCCATGGAGTGGAGTTCTCTGAAGTGGTTAAGTGGGGGAGGCTGGGGGTGGCCCGGCTGGCTGCCGCCATGGTGACTCATGCTGAAGTTGTCACTGCAAGGCTGGGAAAGGTTATGCAGGAGGATATTGGGTTCCATCCTCTTGATTTTCTTGGCTTGCTTCTTTCTCCTTGGGCGGTATTTGTAGTTGGGGTGATCCTGGAGGTGCTGGATTCGCAGCCGCTCTGCCTCTTCCACGAAGGGACGCTTGTCGCTTGCGCTCAGCGCTTTCCATGACTGGCCTGGAAGGGGAAAGAGAAGTTCTGTGACACCAGCTCGGTCACCCGGCACTGGTCAGGGCGCGGAGGCACCCACGGAGAGGGAGCCCGTGGGGTGGGAAGGGCTCCCTCGGACGGTTCGGCACCTGAGCGGGGTCCTGGTGCTGGGATGAGGAGGGGCTGGGGAATGGGAGCCCAAGCAGGGCTGTCCCCATATCCCAGCACCAGGCTTAGGCTGTGGCCAGTGCTTTGGCGCAGTGGGAGAATGGGGGTGCAAAGCCCCGGGGGGGCCGTGGGAACCCCTCTGCCAGGGCAGGGGATTCTGCCACCCGCTGCCCCTCAGCACAGCCCAGTCCCCAGCATGCCTGCTTCCCTGCATCCCGCATCCACTGTCCCTCACTTCTGCAGCCCAAATCGCCCATCCCCAAACCCCGCACCCTTGTATCCTGAATCCCACGTCCCCGCACCCCGCAGCCCCGTGTCTCCGCATCCTGCTGCCCCATCTGGCCATATCCTGCTTCCCGTTGTCCCGCATCCTGCAACTCCGTCTACCCATATCCTGCTTCCCGTGTTCCCACATCCCGCATCCTACAGTCGTGTATCCCGCATCCTGCAGCCCTGTATTCCCATATCCTGCATCCCCACAGCCCTGTACCTCTGCACCCCGCAGCCCCGTTTCCCTGCATCTTGCGTACATGCAGCTCTGTATCCTCACAACCCACAGCCCCACATTCCCACATCCTCTAACACCACATCCCACAGCCCTGTAGTGCTGCACCCCACAACCCTTGATCCCACAGCCCTACATCCTTACAGCCCACGTCCCCACAGCCCCGCGTCCCTGCAGCCAGCATCCCTTCGTCCCATATCCCTACAGTTCACATCCCGCAGCTCTCTCACCTTGCAGCCCGCAGCCCGGCATCCCCCAGCCCTGAACTCCACAGCACCCTATCCCTGCATCCCGCAGCACCCCATCCTTGTAACCCAGCTCCTGCACCCTCATATCCTTGCAGCCTGCATCCCGCAGTCCTGTATCCCTGCAGCCTGGCTAGCGTGGCCCCGTATCCTTGCATCCCATGTCCCGCTGCCTCATACCCTTGCAGCACACATGCCAATGACCCGTACTCCTTCATCCTGCACTCCCAGCCCTGTATCCCTGCATCCCAATATCCCGTACCCCTGCAACCCCCAGCCCTGTATCTCTGCATTCTGCTGCCCTGTACTCCTGCAACTCACCTCCTCGGCCCTGTATCCCTGCATCTCAACACCCCGTACCCCTGCAGCATATATCCCCAGCCCTGTAATTCTGCATCCCAATACCCCGTACCCCTGCAGCCCACATCCCCAGCCCCATAACCGTCTATCCCTACATCCCCAGCCTCGTACGCCTACATCCCTTCAGCCGCAGCCCCGTACCCCCACGTCTGCCTCCTCAGCTCCATACCCCCGCAGCCCTGCATTCTTGCAGCCCGCATCCCCAGCCCCATACCCCTATATACCCAGTCCTGTACCCCTCCATCCCTGCCTCCCTAGCTCTGCACCCCCTCATCCCACAACGCTGCACTCTTGCAGCCCACATCCCCAGCCCCATACCCCCATATCCTTGCACCTCCAGCTCCATACCCCCACATCTCTGCCTCCTCAGCTCTGCACCCCCTCATCCCACACCCCTGCACTCTCGCAGCCCGCATACCCAGCCCTGTACCCCTCCATCCCTGTCTCCCTAACTCTGCACCCCACATCCCACATCCCTGCACTCTTGCAGCCTGCATCCCCAGCCCTGTACCCCTCCATCCCTGTCTCCCTAACTCTGCACCCCACATCCCTGCACTCTTGCAGCCTGCATCCCCAGCCCTGTACCCCTCCATCCCTG